AACAATTTACAATTTAGTAATGGGTTCCGACGATGTGAAGGAAAATGCTGAAGTTCAAGAATCGATTGAAAGAAATACTGGGGAACCACCACCAGCGCCACCACAAACAATATCATCTCCTGTAGCCGATGCAGAAAATCCATCAAATGTCGCTTTAAATTCGCTAGGGGCAAGCGAAGAATCCGATGAAGATAAAGATGAGACTGGAAGTGTTGGAAGCACGGCTACAACAACAACATCACGTAGTAAATCCCCTGGTAATAGAAAGGCATTGCAATCTCGCAAAAAGGCAAAGAAAATAGTTAAACCATTGTACAAGTACACGTATGTATACCGAATGTTACTTTACACGTATTTATGTATATAGATTTGTATTTCGGTACCTTAATATAGAAAGGACCTAACTTATATAGTCACTGACATGCAAAAAAGCCGAAACTGATTAAAAAGTTTTATTGCTTAAAATGATGTGGGGACTTATAATTCGATGAAATGCAGCATAATCAACCCAAAATGGAATTTTGGTTTTTTACCTAGTTACGGCCTTTTGTATTTCAGCGACTTTGTTTGAGAGATAGGGAGTTCCTATATTAAGGTAACGATATGTACATATCATCGTTAAAAGTACAAAACCGCATATCGTCATTCTGCAAAACCACGTAACTGACATTTGCTGCTAAAAATGGGGTTTGCTCACACAAGTTCTTGTCTCAATCCTTATCCATTCGTCCTGAAATATAATAGCCGAAAATACGATTCCTTTATAAAAAAGAGAACCATTTTGAAATATGAGTGTTTTTACTCACTAAAAAATAATTTATGCAACCTCACATACGCGGTTTTGCATTTTGTTGATACGCGGTGTTGTACTTTAAACGTATATTTCTTGGTTATTGCAGGTGCCATCTTCGTGAAGATCACGGACAGCCGCTGTTTGGTGCACAGTTCAATCACCATCTCAGTAAGGAGCAAGCCATTTTCGCATCAGTAGGAAAGGACCGCATTTCAATTTATGAGTGTCCCCGTGATAGCGAAAGCACTGATATTGAAGTGTTTGGCATAAAGTTGCTTCAATGTTATGCAGATCCAGACGTGAGCATCCCATACTTTATAATAACAGAAGTAAATGTGCTCTTCTTTCTATAGCCCGACGAAAACTTTTACACTTGTGCTTGGTCTTACGACCCTGAGATTGGCGACCCCATACTTGCTGCAGCTGGTTATCGCGGTGTCATACGCATCTTCAATCCTTCGAAAAATCTTTGCTCTAAACATTACATTGGCCACGGTCATGCTATCAATGAGTTGAAATTTCACCCCAAACTGCCACAGATGTTGCTTTCCGGCAGTAAGGATCACTCGCTGCGTCTCTGGAATATACAAACGGATGTGTGTGTGGCAATATTTGGCGGCGTAGAAGGACATCGTGACGAAGTGCTTTCACTTGATTTCGACTTGCGCGGTGATCGCATCATGTCCAGTGGTATGGATCATTCGTTGAAGTTGTGGCGCTTGGACAAGCCAGCAATAAAGGACGCAATTGAAAGTAGTTGCTCATTTAATACAACCAAAAATGCTACACCGTTTCCCACAATCAAAGAGCATTTCCCCGACTTCTCCACACGAGATATTCATCGAAATTACGTGGATTGTGTTCAATGGTTCGGGGACTTTGTTCTCTCCAAGTCTTGCGAGAATTCGATTGTATGTTGGAAGCCAGGAAAACTTGAACAGACTGATATAAAATCCCAAGATTCTACTACAACTATTATACACCATTTCGATTATAAAGAATGTGAAATTTGGTTTGTACGCTTTGCATTTAACTTTTGGCAAAAAGTTTTAGCTCTGGGGAACCAACAAGGAAAAACCTATGTATGTGAGTTGGATAATTCAGATCCGAATTTAACTAAAAACAGCACTTTAATCCACCCCAAGTGTACCAGTGCTATAAGACAAGCTTCATTCTCCAAGGATGGTAATGTTTTAATATGCGTTTGCGATGATGGTACGATTTGGCGATGGGATCGTACAAATTAGACTTACTACATAGATTAATACAGAATAGTCCATACCTTGTACATATGAATGAATCGACGGTTTTTCTTAAACCAGTAATTAGTCTATAACTCAAACCTAGTTTGCCGTTTGATGGAATCAATCTCAGATATTCTCTTCAATTTTATAGCTAAAAATGTGCATTAATCCCATGGTTCATCTACATATTTATCCATTTACGTATATAGTAATCATACATTAAGTCTACACTTTTAGATTATAAAAGTTATAATAAATGTCTGGAATTAGAATGTAACAAGCATTTTATTTCATCTATAAAAGCAAATACGCCGTTGCCATCGTGTAGGTAAACATTCGAAAATCTTTTTTCTTCCCAAATTATTTTCTAGATCTCTAGATACCCGGGTATCGAGCAATGCGAGTAGCTCGATACTCGCTCGAAACTCGTTCATTTCTCAACTGCTCAAATGTTTGTTCAAAATTTTCGAGTTTTTGAACAATTTCATAAACAAAAGAAAATTTGTAAATTGTATTTGTCAGCAGCTGCTATCTAATTCATGTTAAATAAATTATATTATTAAATACCAATGTAACAATCTTTGCATTATATATCAATAATTTGAAAAATTTAAAAAGTTGCTACCAAAAATGTCAATATAATAAAAAAAACATGGCTCAAATTACTCGAAAAAACTCGAATTGCTCGAGCTCATGCTCGAAAATTTTCGAGTAATGAGCATTGAACAAGTGTGCGAGTACTCGCTGCTCATATACCCGGGCTGTTTGAAAATGTGCGAACAAAATCGAGAGCTCTATTATTTTCTAAAAAATCTTGTATAGTATTCTCCACGTTTGTGCGCCATTGCAGATCGGCGAATAGGGGGAATTCATCTCCAGCGCGTTTCATTCGTCTGACGGCTGTTTGATAACATTTCCATGGTTGTGGCTCTACTACGAGTAACTCTGAAATGTCGCTAAGTTTTTGCAGAAATTGATGCAAACCCTCGTCCCCATGGTTCAAATGTATCCACATTGTTACAGAAAAACAACAAACTGCGTCGAAAGTTTTGCGATTATTTTGACGTAGGTACTTTTTTACATACTCAAAAGCTTCTGAATCCATAATGTCCAGATTAGAATAACTCACATTTTGAGGGTACTCGTTTCCGACTACTGCTCGTTTCACCAAATCTGCATCTATGTCGATTCCGAGTATTTTTGTTTCGCGATTGCGTGGCACACCTAAACATTCATTTAAAAAGGTGTACAATAGGTTTGTGAGGTTTCCAGCATTGCAACCCACATCGAGGGCCAGGTATGTTTCCCTTGATTCAATATCTTCACTTGTAAGCCATACATCAGGTGGAAGCAATTTTACACGTTGTCCAGCATTGTTGAATTTGTAGTAATTAATAAAGTTTCCATACTGCACTGCACCAGGATCGTTGTTTCGGTATTCCATACTGCATCGGGAATGTTTACTTTTCGTTTGTTTGTTTTTAATTCAAACAGCTGTGCATTTGTTTACATTTGGGTTACACTAGTGAAAATCAATTTAAAAAGCTAAGTAATTGTACACAAGTGTTTATATTAAAATTTATCGAATTTCTTGCTATTCACGTATAAAAATTATTATTATTGCAGTATATAGTAAAAATGTACTTTTGAAGTTAAAAAAGAAATGAAGTTGAACTTTTGAATTTTAAAGGCGCTACGTTACCGACCAAATTTTTATTCATCGAAAGCACCCTTTAATTATGCTGAATTGCTGACAAGGCGACGCGTCGATGTATCTGTCATTTGCAGTGACGGATTGGTTGTATATAGCTGTCTCTTTTTCCCGCATAACTTTCAGCCTTGAATAATACACAGTGTAATCTCAAAGAGCGATGTAATAAAAAATTTGTTTCGTCAATGACCGTCGAGTAGAGCAATATTTATAATTTGCATAAAATCCATACTTTTTTAAAACTAAAATAGTCTAAAGTGCAACATTTCTATTATATCCAAAACATGAGTTTGTGAAATTAGCAATAAAAACTGGCGTGATATGTACATAATCTCGCTTTAGTGGTATTCCTTCAAATCTCCCTCGTCGTCAGTCATTTTCGTTTGTCGTGTCGTGTTCGTGTCAATTGTCGCTGCATTTCCTGATAAACAATAGAGATTTGTGAAATTAATGAAATTGCAGTGCGATTTCATACAAAAAAGTGATTGAAAAACAATTGCGAGGGCGTATTTTTAAACATGTGAGTAAAATTGTCTAATATTTTAGGTTTATTTAGCTCAAAAGCGTTAACCAAAAATTGTACATAAAAGTAAAGTGCTGCCATTTGTCTAAATATTTCTTGACGTTCGTTCGTTTTGTGGCCTCGGGCAGACTCCTCAAAGATCCTACATTCTTCCGTATTCTAATATTAACTTGTAATATAAATGTAAAAGTATTATAAAATTAATTTAACAAGCTAGAAAGCTAAATAAGTGGGGAAAGAGTTTTTCGTTATACGACATGAGCTTTTCAACGCTAAGATGACCGACAAAATGTCAAGATGTTGCCCACGGAATGCTGAAGAGATTCCAGATACATACATACAAATACGCATTGGACACGTGTGTGTGATTACTTGTGTGTCCACGGAGTGGTGTTGCCCAAGCCGTACAAACAAAACGATATCACTTGGTGCGCAACAATAAACACAGAAGTGGATTCAAGAGCAGCAGCCGTTAGCTATTCCCAGTGGGAATTAGGAGCACGTAATAATACCTTATTAGCAACTTACTCTTCACCTGGCAG